ACTTTTATGTTCCAAAAAATTCAATACAGTCATCCCTTATTAATATCAACCTGTTAATATCAACCTAGTATATAAAATAAATTTTTATATGTTAAATTATAATAAACTTCTCTCATATATATCAACTTTAATATTTTTTCTCATTAATATCACTATCAACATAAATATAAATACGATCCAAAAATGTTGATATTAATGAGGGATGACTGTATTAGTTAATGATTTGGCTATTGTATTTATTTATTAATAAACAACTTTTGTACTTCAAAAAAAAACCTAGTGATAGTTAATGATTTTGGCTATTGTATTAATAAACTACTTTCATATTCCAAAAAACTAGTATTAGTTAATGATTTGGCTATTGCTTTAAAAAAAGTATTAGTAAACGATCTGTAACTATTATAACTTATCACTAATCAAAAGTTATACTGGTAATAATTAAGGTTTCAAGTTTATAGCTGTATCCAAAAATATTATAACTAGAGTATTAACCAATACTGAAGAGCTTGATAACTACAAAAAAAATAATAATAATAACAGAACAAATAAAAAGTGACAAAACTAACAAAACAAAATACAATTAAATCTTAACTATCTATCCAACTAAATATATTTTGTATATTATTACAATATTAGTAGCCAAAAATTAATAATAAATACATTGTATTTACTATGTATATACGTATAATAGTTTAACTACTTATTTAAATATATACAAATATAATAGCTATCATCTGTAAAAGAATTCTTTAAAGATTTTCTTTTATAATCTACCTATCTAACTCTAATATAAAAGAAAACACTATTAATATTTACTTTAATTCTACTATTAGAAACACTTATATTAAATTTTTGTTAAAACATAGCAATACTTAGATATGAATATGAATTGATATATTGATATTACATATTTTCTGTTATATGTATTTTATTTTATTCTATGTATTCTATGTATTCTATCTAATCTGAAACTATACAAGTTTTGGTATAATGCCTGAATTATTTATATTTACTATATTTTCGACTTTTGCCATCTTTTATATCTTTTATTCTATCTATTACATTGAGTCTTGTATTATTTTTTAATGTATGTTTCTCATTATATGATATTTCAACACAAGATTTAAGTCTTTTAGAAGAATGCCCTTTATGTTTTCTAGTATTAGAATTATAAATATCTATATCATAATCATCTATATTATAATCATTATCTTGTACTTGATTTTAAGTATTATATAAAAATATCTTAAGAATACTTGTCAAATTACTATATCAACTAGTATTAATAGCATGATTAATTACTTTTTTTGATAAGCCAAATAACTTAGTGTAGATTATTTTATTTAACTTTGATAATGATTCAGATTTGTCTGTGTTAGAATAAATTGAAAAAGATAATTAAATGTTAAATCTAAATTAACTCTAGATTTATCTTGCATCTCAGATTTTTGTTGTTTATTAGATGTTGAAATAGGAATTATTGGTAACTTATTAATGAGTTTGTCTGTTGTAGTATTAGGTTTTAGATGCTATCGATTTGATATCAAGACTATATAAAATGTTATTACTAAGGAATATATACCAACTCAGAAAAAATGACAACAGATTAGACTTTTGTTTATTAAAAGAAGACAAGTACATAAGTACGTACCATCTTTTAGTAATACTATATAGTGCCCAAGATCTATAGTCTCTGTAGCACATACATATCATATCTGAATAATTATTTTATATAATATATTTTGTATCATAGATATGAACAAAATTTGTCTTGTATCATAGTCTTGTTCTCTGATCTACAATCTAATTTCTTGATCTATATCTGCTTCAACTATTGTATACTATTTTTGAATTTGTATAATATCATAACATAAACTTGTATTTATTTGGTCACTTTGTTTTCTAAATATAACAGAAGTAAGAACCTTTTTTAATATTTCGGCAACTTAACTAAAAAATGACTATTTAGCATTAGCAAACCAATAAATAGAAGAGCATTATGCTGGATTTTAAAATTCATTAAATTCTCTTTATTGTTAATATAATCTTTTAAGCTAATTAATAAATCATATAAAGATGTTGCACAATTGACCTTTTGATGAATATATTTATTAATACACTCTACTCTCTGTATATTTTGTATGCTTCCAGTGAATTGTTTATATATCCAAAAAATAGCCCATGATTCTTTATTGATATATGGGGCCTTTGCTATGATTTTTTTTTACTAAAAATAGATTTGTTATGATTTTACTAATTAAAATCTCGTGTAACAATAGCTTAGAGGGTCATTTTGTTAGCAAAAGCCCCATATAATATTTCATTTAGATAATTTGTAGCTGTTGGATAATTTTCTACTAATTTTGCTCAATATCTTTCAAAGAGTTCTTCATATAAACTATTCTGACATGTATAAAAATCAGATTGAAACTGATTAAATTGTGATCCTAATTTATTTCTTAACTTTTTTCGTAAATTTATATCAATATGAAATATACAAAGTATATGTTTAGTAGTAAGATATACTTGTTTATTAGCACTTATTATTGCAGGGTCACTGTCAGTAAATATGACTACAGGCGTAATACCAGTTTCCTCAACTAATATTTTAAATATCTAGTTAAACATATCTAATGTTTCATCTTTAATAATGCAACTAGCTACAATCTGGGTCTTATAATAATTATCAATTATACTAATAATGCAAAGCATTATTTGAAAACAGTTTATATTAGCAGTAGTGTCTATTATTACAATATCGTGAAATATTTTATAAAAACATTTTTGTTTAGATGATATCTAAATTAAAGAACTAATTTTCTTAATACAGCTTCCAGCTATAGTTTAATGACTCATAATAGATTTCTATCTTTCTAATTTAATAAAGTTTGTAATATTAAAAAAACATCTGAATTATCTAGATTTTCTTTAGTCTAAATTTATATACTGCATTATATAAATCACACTTGTTCAAAGAATGGTTAGAATAGTCATGTCAAAGTAACAGGTATATAGTTCCAGAATCTATTCTACCTTGGATTGTATATTTCTTAATATCCAACAACATTTTAGATATTAATTTACGAAACCGTGAACTAATTTTACTAATTATTGGAGTAAGAAGATAACTATAATAATTTTTATAAGAATTAATTTTCACTATTTTTGAGCTTTTAGATCGGGTAACATTTAATTTCTAAAGACACCCAGTCTATTAAGATGTAGTTTTATATCATTTAGTAGGATCTGATATTATCTTTGGATTATTAGTACTAGAATTGGTATATATATATGTTTAGAGTTCCGCAATTTGATTTGATTCGATTTGATTCGATCAAATATTTAAATCAAATCAAATTCCAATTATAGATTTATTTGATTCGATCAAATCAAATTGACAAAATATTCGATTTGATATGACAAATATTTGAATATTTAAATTGATTCAAATTGAACCTATAAATTTAATAGCGATTTACACAAAATTTTATTAAAATAACTGCTATTTTCATTCTAACTAACTAGAGGTATTTTGATTAGAAAAACATTTTTTACTTAATATACAAAATCGATTAGTTTAGTAAAATTTTTCGTAAATTAAGATTTTTGAAAAGTAACAAAATTTAAAAATTTTTAATAATATTCGAATATGATTTGATTTGATTTAATTCGATTCGATCAAATCAAATTCAAATTAAGAATTTATTCGATTCGATTAATATTCGATTCGATTCGATTTGATTTTGAGAAACCCTATATATGTTGCTCTTCTAAGTATACTATTTTCTAGTTTACTAGTTTGAACTCTGTAATTAAATCCGTTTATCTTCGCAAATTAATCAATCCACTTTTTGCATTGTTCCCAACTTTGAAATTGAAGACTCAGAGTCAATTCTAATAATAGTTCATTTTCTAATCCACTTTTCTGAGCTTCCTCTAATTCACTTTCTTGAGCTTTCTCTAATTCACTTTTCCAAGCTTTTTCTAATTCACTTTTCCAAGCTTTCTTCAATTCATTTTTCAAAGCTTCATTTTTCAGAGTCTCCTCTGATTCATTTTTTTGAGCTTTTTTTAATTCATTTTCCAAATCTTTCTCTGATATATTTTCCAGATCTTCTTGCCTATTACTATACATTTTGTTTATACCCAAGAACAAATATGCGCTATTTAGATAAATATAGTTATTGAAGACTTCAATTTTAGTATACCAAAGAGACCATCAATATTATAAATATCACCAGAATAAGTAGCATCTGGATCATTTAATTGCAGGTTAGTTAAGCTGTTATTAATATCATTAAATTTGCTTTTAAATGAAAGTTGACCAGCATATATTGAAAAATATAATGCATCAAATACAAATTGATCACTAGTTGTGTGATAAGAATTTGATCTAAAAAATATTCTTGGTTCTATAAAATGTTCTATAGGGTTCTAAAGAAATAAATCACTTTTAAATTACATATTATTTGTATTGATTTTAGGGTTGTTAATAGAGTATTCTATTAACTTCATTAAATAGAAATACTCTGAAGTATACTATTTAAATAGAGTTAACAGAGTACTCTATTAACAATACTAATTGATCTTATATAACTATTTACTTTCTCTGATGATATGTCCATATAATTGTTCTTGTAAAATTAACATTGGTAATGGAAAAAAAAGAGAAAAAATGGTTTATTGCTTATAAAATCAATAGTATTTATTCTTTATATTATATGATCATGTAATCAATATTAAATATATTTATTAATTGTAAATCAAAAATTTTAATTATATAAATAGTGTTTGATATACTATCATTAATCGTATTACAAATTTTAATTTCTGTATATTATGTAATAATATAAATAAATAAATAAATATATATATATAGATATATATAGTGTATAATACACATAGTATTAAATTAGAAATATCTATAAAAAAAATATAATAAAATTTAATTTTATTAACAAAAATTTATTAATAAAATTTAAATTTATATTAAATTTTTTTGTATTTTTATTGGTCAATTATATTATACTGCAGATTATCAAAACACAAATTTCTGAAAAATAAAATTAATAAAAAATTACAAAAAATATACAAAAGATACTAAAAAACCAAATTTAGAGCTCTAAATAAAAAAGAAAAGAACTACAAAAAATGTTTAGTCTTTTAAGAGACTTGAATAGAAAGAGCAAAAGCAGCAAAGAAATAGAAGAAGTTATGAAAAATTATTAATATTTTTTTTGCACTTTGCGAATTTTTTGAGAATTGGTCTTGACTCTGAATTACAAATTAGATATTCTATAAAATAGGTAGACAATATAAGAAATAAACTTTGTTAATAATTAATAATCATTAATTTTTTAATATCAGAGTTGCAGAGTTTGTAGAGTTTGCTCATCTATCCTATAGAATATTCTTATACAGTAGATTTGTTTTGATAACACAAAAATAGCAATATGTAATAAAAAATAAACAAAAGAAACACACCAAAAACTACATAATAAAGATAAACAAAGATAGTAAACAATTGTACCAAATAACAACAACAATCAACAACAATAAAAAAAATAACAAGCTATTTGAAGCAAACTTATAATAACAAGAAAACAGAAGCTATGCAGAATATTCAGTAATAATTAATAAAAGAAAACTTAAAAAGCCAGAAGCAGCCATTCTACGACCAAAAATTATAAAGAAAGACAGATATATATATAGCAAGTATTAGCATCTTTGTTTGATAAAGAAAGAGCATATAATATAAAATGAATATTAGCAAAATTAGCAAAATATATAGAGACAAAGCTTATTATAGCTAAAGAAGTAAAAGCACAGGCAGAAGAACTCTATGAAGAATTATATCAATACAGAAGAAGAGAAATACAATACACAAAACTTGTATTTAAAAAAAAAAACTATCATTATTATCATATAGTAGTACTAAAGAGAATAAATACAGCTATTTATATCATAATTGAAAAGATAAATAATATTGTATTCGAATTAAGTGGATAAGAGATATAATAGATATTAGAGTAAAGTAAGCTATTAAAATAAAGTCAAAATTAGAATTAGATTAAAGCAAAATACTCCAAAAACAAAGAAAAAATAAATAGAGATAGTATAATAAAACAGCTTTGAAGAACTTAGTACAACAATTCAAAGCTATTACAACAAACTAATATAAGACAAAAAAAAGCTACTGAAGAAAAAGAAGAGAGACAAGTCTAGAAAAAGAAGAAACAAACTGCAAAAAATATAGCTAAGACAATAAAATAAATTAGAAATTAAACAAGTTATCGAATTAAAGTCAAAAGTAGAAGAAAATTAAAGCAGGAGACTTCAAGAATAAAGAAAAAGTAAACAAAGACAGTACAATAAAATGGTCTTGAAGAATTTAATATAACAATTCAAAGTATTCAGCAAATTCACTATAGCAAAACAACAAGAGACAAGAAGAAAAGCCAAAAAGAAAAAAGAAATAATACAAGCTTTACAAAAGCAAAAACAAAAACAAGCTGCTAAAATAAAATTGAAGTTAAAACTAGACTAGAGCAAAAGATTTTAAAAATAAAGAAAAACTTAACAAAATAGCATAACCAAATAGTATTAAGAACTCTAATAATACAATTTAAAATATTTGTCAATTCTACTACAACAAGTATTAAAGATTCATATTCTAATAATAAAGTATAAAAAAAAAAGAAGAAAGATCTGTTTATAAAATATATATATAGTTTGAAGTTTTATTGAAATATTGATATGAACCTGATTCAAAATACATCAATAGCTAGATTAAAAAGAGCCAAGAATTGAAAAAAAAAAAAAAATATCATTAGAGATAATAGAAAAGATTTTTATAGAATATTTCAGAAATTAAGAAATCTTCGTCAAAATACTAAAAAAGTTTTTAGAAAAAAAACCAAGTTCTAGAAAAAAAAAGAAAAGAAAGAAGATAAAGAAAAAGAAAAAAGAAGATTTTTATACCTAGACTACAAAGAAAAAAAACTCGAACAAAACAACTATGACTCAAAATTGAAAGGACCAAGAGAAAACTCAAGGTATTTAGAGGAAAGAAGACTAATAGAAGAATATTTTTAAAAAAAACTATAGAACAAGCTCCTGTGAAAAAGAAAGAAAATTTGAAGCTTTAAAATAGAAAGAAAAAATTAAAGAAAAGGATATAAGAAGACTCCTAAGAGCTGGGTTTGTGAATAAAAAGAACAAGTTGAACTGGAAGAAAAAAAATAAAAATAAAAGTACAAACAAAAGAATCCTGGCAAGAACCTTTGTTTAAAAGAGAAAGTAAAATTGTTTATTATTAGAAAATTAGAATATTGTTATAAAAAGAAGAATAGTTTAGAAAGAGTAAATTATCAACTAAATATAGTAAAAAATTCTTTCAATTTAAAACTATTCCGTTATAGTTTTATTAGCTAGCTTGATACAACTCTCTAGTATAGGCAATAGCCTTAACTAATATAGCAGATCATATATAGGTAGCCATAGAGAAAACCAAGTAATATTAGATCTATAGCTTAAATAGTTTATAGTGCATTTGTATATTGCTTTGATAATAAAAATACTAGTGAGATTGCTAATACATAGAAAAAAAAATTATATTATACTATAGCTAAAAAATTAGTATCTATATATAAAAAGTTGTTGGCTTTAGATAGTACTAACTATATTAAAATAGTTGGTATACAATTGTATAAATTTAAAATATCTTTAAATAGATAATTAATTTTTAAATTTAGTAGATAATTGCTTTTAAAAAATATCATTTAATAGTATAATATACTACTGATAGTATAGCAAAATTATATCTATTAATATATCTAATTTAAGCAAAACTATAATAATTCTCTAATTCTAACTACAGAACTATTATTAATACTACCTAATCTAAGCAAAACTATACTAATTTACTAACTCTAACTACAAAACCATTATTAATACTATCTGATCTAAACAAAACTACACTAATTCCTAACTTTAATTACAGAACTAACCTTAACCAAACCTAATAACTAAACTAAACAATAACTATCAATAAAGAAAGTATTTTACTGCTTCAATAGCAATAATATCAATAACAAAAGTATTTTACTATTTAATAATTATAATATTAACAATAAGAATATTTTATTGCTCAATAGCAATGATGCTAAAAGTATTTTACTACTAAATAATGATAACACTAACAAAAATATTTTTGTAATATATTAAAAAGTAATAAGCAATAATCTAAAAAGAAAGAAAAATATTAGTTAATAGAACAAAAACAAAAACACAAAAAAAAAATATATACCTCTAAAGTATTCTAAAAAACTACAAAAAAGAAAGTCTAATATAAAGTTGCTTCTGTTCAACATTTGAAAAAAAAGTTAGTATCTATAAATATATTTATAAGCCAAAGCAATAAATAAAAAAAAAGAACTATATTTCTCTGAATATCCAAAAACTGAAATAAAAAACTAAAAAATAAAATATCTGAAAAAAAAGAAATATTAGTAAAAACATTCAAATCTGAAACAACAAAGTTCATATCTTTTAGAAATTTCTAGACTATAATATCTAAAGAAACTATACTTCTCTAAATACTAAAATAAAAAATTAGAAAACATCTTTGAAAATATTTAGAAAAAAATATTAATAAATATATTTAAAAATTCAAAATAACAAAGTTTATATATTCTTCTAAAATTTCTAAGCTAGAATATCTAAGCCAAACATGACAAAATCTATATTTAAACTATAATACCAATGATAGCAACATATTAGTAATAGCAACTTACTAGCAATTATAATGAAAACTCTAATTATAGTAACTATAATCTGAAAAAAAGAGTAGGTTAGTTAAATTTATACATGTATATAAAAAAAGTTAAAAAGAAAAAAATTAATCTTTATCAATGATGATCATTGTTTATATATTGAGAATATAGCTAATTTTTAACAAAATCATTTAAGCTAATTTTAATAAAATTTTTTAATTAAATTAATAGATTTTTTGTTAGATTTTTGTTAAATTTAGCAGGTTGTGATATCACAGATTAATATATAATAATAATAATAATAAATTAAAATTATTATTAGTTGGGGTTAGGGTTCGAGGTAGTATTTGGATTAGAGTTA